CAGGAGGCCGAGGGGCCGCGAGAGCTTTGCAGCCGCCTTCACCGCCTTTGCTGGGGGTGGCTGCAGCCAGAGAAACACACCAAGGCCCAGATGTTAGACCGGGTGATCTTGGAGCAGTTTCTGGCTGTCCTGCCCACGGAGATGCAGCGCTGGGTGTGGGAGTGCCGGGCGGAGACCAGCTCCCAGGCGGTGGCCCTGGCCGAAGGGTTCCTCCTGAGCCAGGCAGAGGAGAAACAGCAGGAAGGGTACCAGGTGAGAGATGCTCATCTTGGAAATATGAAGGGATCTTAATGTGATTGAATTTTTTTTATAATAACTTTATTAAAATTTAAAAACAGAAAGATAAAGACTAACAAGAACGAATAATCAAGGAAAAGAATAGAAGAAAAGAAAGAATAAAGAGAAAGAAAGAGAATAGAAGTGCAGAAAAATAAAAAGGAAGAAAAAAGCTGAGATACAAAAAAAGAATTATCTCACATTTCTTTTACAGCAGATATAAATAAAACATACATTAAACTCTTACTCTAGGATTACACATTAACATTCATTTTTCTATAATCTATTAATTTTACTAATCATCAAATCCATTTATCATAATTTCATTTTTTTCTGTTTCCCTCAAAAGTTCAAAAGGGGCTTCCAATTAGCATCGAATTTTTCAAAAATTTAATTACTTTAAATCTCCAGATCTTCCCAAAGTTTATAGTCCCCCCCCCCCAAAAATGAGATACCAAGAGAAATACTTACGGCCGTTAAAAAGAAGTCTCTCTTAAACTGAAGAATAATTATAATCCAAAAGTGCTATAGAAATGGGGATCGGCCGGTTCCAGTGTCCTTATACAGGCTGCAGCTCAGCCATGAACAGCAATGTAATTCTCGTTTCCCAGCCACTCCACTCACAAGCTGCTTGCAAAAACTTCAGTTTTTGCGATTTACTCACAAGGAATGGCCATCTAGAGATCAAATAGCTTGATTGCAAGCTTCCTCCTTTGTCCAGAGAAAGAAAGCGCCCTGCAATGTCTGCAAAGCACTGAAACAGCTGAGGTGCTGTGTCCGCTGTCCAAAGACAATGAAACCGCCATGCCCGCCACCAGAAGCGTAATTGAGTTCTTAAATATCTCCCTAACAGAGTTTCTAGAATTAATAATACAACAAGATGTTTAGAGAAGATCATTAGAGAAATTGTTCCTGTGTTTTTTCAGAGGACATATTTGGAGCAATTGTTCCATCATCCTCTTCCCACTGATGGACCTAGAGGGCTTGGAAAGTTTTGGCCAAAAAATGAAAATCCAGTTCCTCTTCTGTTCTGTTCTCTTAATTCCTCTTCTTTTCCTATATTTCAGGTTCTGAGGCCCTTCCTGGAGGTGAGCACTAATTGTCCTGAGGGAAGGGTGGATCCTGCAAATCCCTCTCAGGAGTTGTGTCTCAGAGGGATCTTGAAGGAAGAAAGTCAACATCAGGATACCTCACTAGGTAAGGGAAGATCCTTCTACAGGGTTGGAGGTTTTCCAGAGAGATTCCACTTATTCTTAATTCTCTGTATCTTCTCGTGTCTAGTCGTTGGACTTACTAGAAGGTGACCAAAAAGAAAGACTTAACTCTCCCTCTTCAAACTAGAAGGCTTAAGTCCCACAAAGGAAGTCCCTCCCTTCAGTCCATGCACTACCTTCAGATGGTTCCCTGTTTTCATGACCTCTTCTGGGGAACACCTTGGGTTGCATTCTGACTCCTTCATCCCCCATCCTTCTTTTTGTTCTCAGAGATGGGTAGGGGAACCACCTATCTTTGTCCTTTCTTGATAGATAATTTCTAGTAAATTTGTATACATATCTCTGCTGGACCATCTCCAATACCATCTCTCCTTGCAGGCATATTCCTGGGGTGACAGAATTTCAACATTTGCTCAATCCACATGGAATGTAATTGTTTCAGGCTGTGGGGGGTCGGGGAAGTATCTACCATGGTTGAATGAATGCTTTGGTTGCTAAGAGTATACTTCCTTGTGTCGTTCCTGCCCAAAGGGCTAGGAGAAAGGTCCAGTTCGGGTTTGTTCCCCGTGCTCTTTTTCACATTTTCTGGGCTGCTTACCCAGCCTGGCTGCTGCCTCCAACTGATATGATCAGTTAATGAGTGGTATGGCTGTGGTCTTCTCTTCTCCTTTTATTCTTGGCTCCCAAGATAAAGCCTGTGGAAGGCTACTGAAGGCAGAGGGTAGGACTGGCGGATGGAGGTTTCCTCCTCAGGACAAGAAGAAGTCTTAAGTCTTGCCTTCAAGCTAGAAAAGATGGAATTAATCTCTTTCTTGCTTCCACCCATCTCCTTCCTTCCCAGGGAACAAAATGGAGTCACCGTTGTTCATAGGATCATCTCCTTATACTGGTGGAGCTGAAAGAGCAGCTGGACCTCCAGCTCAGGTAGGAAAGAAAAGATCAGGGGCTAATATGGGGGAGCAGTTAGAGACCTCCAATTTTATTTGGGATCTCAGCATATGATACTGCTGTTCCTGAGCTACTCAGGACATGGAAATTAGGAATCAAGTTAGTGATCTGTCACACTCGGCTTACCTCTCAAAACACTTTTGGAAATATATTCATTTCTTTTGTGGTTACATACTTTGTGGACTCAAAAAATGACACCCGGCAGTTCACAATATAAAACTTAAAAATGAATAAAACAATATAAAACATAAGAACCAATAAAACAGAACTAACAGGCAAAACAATGATCTCCTCTGAAACAGTACTGTCTTTGATCATTTTTGGAAGGCCAGTAATTAGACTCCCAACCTAATTTGTAGAACTATAGTGGGATAAAAGATCTACACTGAGAGTTATTGCTTCTTTTCAAAATGTTCAGAGCTTTCTCTTCTGGGCTGTAAGGAGGTTTACAATAAAGGGTAAAGACCAAAGACACCCCTGACTCCAGCTTGGCTTTCAAGAACTGCAACCATGCTGGTTTGGGGCTGCATTACAGAAGTGGTTTCGTATATACTCTTCCTAGCTTTTTCAACTGTTTTGTCTAGGAAAGAGATAAAGGGGTTAGTGGTCCCTCATCACCTGACTCAACCTCAACCTGCTACCTGGAAGATTACTTGAGGGCACCTGGAGGTGCCACCTTCTGAGGCCCAATTAACAGTAACTAATAATATGAAATCTTTCAGGAGACAGGAATACAATTAATACACAGCTTTGTTACCTCCGAGATCATCATCTTCAGGGAGAACCTGCCGTCTTACACAGCCTAGATGGAGAGGATGCTGTGTGAAACCACCCCTTGAGAGATCAGGGGATGGGACCCAGGGATAATATTCCCAGTGGCAGCCCCCTCACCGGGGAACAG